TTTTTGTCTTAATTTGTTCTTTACCATTTGGTTGTATGGGGGTGTATACCAAATTATTTTTCTACTTCTGTTTTTTCTATGCTTTCCATTTTCCTTTTTTATATAAGTTAGTTTTCGGGTTTTATTATAGAAATTGATATATTTATAGAAAATCTTCACATTTGCTGAATTTGTACTTATTCTTTTTTTCGATAGATAAAGGTATATGCTTAATTATAGATGGAGGATGATTTTATTTAGGTTGTATATATAAAGGATTGTTATAGGGGTTTTTATAAGGTATGTATACATTTTTCATTAAATCTAATGTTATATCAAGGAAGGTAATTTTTCTTTTAATTTAGTGCTTACCGTAATTTTTAAGTTCAGGCTTTTAAAATCTTTATATAAAAATCTTTATAATTTTATCGATTTTAACGTTAGTAGAGTTCTTTATAACCATGAGTCCATCGTCTCTGTATAAACCAATGTCAATTATAATAATTTCACGGTACGCTGTGAGATTGTATAATATAAAAAGACCTATACGATCAAAAGACTCAGCTAAGTCTAGTGATCCAATTGTAATGTCAAAGTGGTCATATAAATTTTTTATCCATTGCTGACCTTTATGTATCCATACCGATTTTTTCGCAATTTACAATAGTGCTCTTTTCTTCTTCCGTAATATCCGTGTACTGGACAAAGTAGTCTATTTACACTTTAAAATTTATTTTAGTAAACACGGATAAACACTGGATATCATAATCAATTCTGATGATGTCATTCAGTCTTAGTCCATTCAGCTGGTGACGACCTTGATCTTGGTGTTTCTCCCACAAGATATCATAATCAATTTTGATGATGTCATTCAGTCATAGTCCTTTCAGCTCGTGACTACATTGATCTTGGTGTTTTTGACACAAGATATCACAATCAATTTTGATGATGTCATTCAGTCTTAGTCCATTCAGCTAGTGACTACCTTGATCTTGGTGTTTCTGACAAAAATTTGCATATGTGTTCGAAGAGAGATATAAAATGCTAAAATAGTTTGCCAAAGGTAGTAGCAGTATTTTTTCTTAGCCAGGCAATGCGCTGCCAGGCTCGTAACACACTTGTCGAAGTCTCTTCGTTCGGGCAGATGAACGCAGACGAGGCTATTCCAAAGGTCTGGGTCTCGTCTGGAGAGGTAGACAAACCCGACTCCGGTTTTATGGCAATTTTCGCCCGTGCCTACGGGCTCGAATTTTCCCACCTAAAAAATCAGCCTTGTGCCACATCTTGCCTTCGGGATAGGTTTAGCAAATACCGATCTGTATTTGTTCTTCCTTCGTTCCGACCTTGCTCTCTCTTTCGAAGCTGACTGGACGTATTACCGAATCTGCGAAAAAGAACCCTAACTCTTCATTTTCTATCGTTACTTCTACAAGGAGAATTAGTTGTAGGCAACATATAGTGTTTTTTTGTTGCAGTTTAGCACAAAAAAATTTCTACTGCATGATTACGCCAGTAACAAGTAAGAATTCGTTATTATTTCTTTCTCAAGGACACATGGCACAGTGGATAAAGGCGTTAGTTAGATCCAGTGACAGGACCCAATGTGTGTAAATTCAATACCCGGTTAAGGCAGTGGAGAACTTAGAGAGGGAAATCAACAGGAGATAACTGACAACTGACATCCGTTAAACATAGCACGTGGAACTAGAACAGTCTACCCCAGTGACCGAAATAAAGGGTTAAGTTCGAATTTCCAACCACCTGAAGAAGGCCGGAGCGTACAACGGCCGAAACGTTGTAATAAATATGGCGACAAAGATGAAGACAATATTCTGAATAATGTAAATAGTGTACATAATAATTCATCTCAGATATATAGACAGAAAATGGGTTCCAGTCGACCATATTTGATTAAAGGTGGAGTCAAAATTTGCATATTTGTTTGAAGAGAGTTATATAAAATTCTAAAATCGCCAAAATATAGCCGTATCTTTTTCTTTCTTTCGTTACGACCTTGCTCTCTCTTCCGAAGCTGACTGGATGTGGTACCGAATCTTTTAATAAAAGTCTTAACACTTTATTTTCTATCATTACTGCTACAAGGAGAATTATTTGTAGGCAACATATGATGTTTTTTTGTTGCAGTTTGACACAAAAAATTGCCACCTCGCGATTACGCCAGTAACAAGTAAGAATTTGTTATCATTTTTTTCTTTCTGCTGTGAGTTTCGCTTTAAATGATAATAGTTGCCATTATAGTTTTTCTATTTTCCCTTTATCCGACTTTATCAGACTTGATATCCCGACATCGCATCTACTGCAAGGAAAGTTGGATCACTGAGCCGTGACAAATACAAATACAGAAATAGTGATCACTGCTTAAATGTGTAAGAAGGGCTCTGAGGAGAAAAAAACTTTTGGCACGGCACAGTGACCCAACTTCCCTTGCAGTAGATGCAGATATTGAACAGTAAAGTCTATCACTTATTTTAGAGAAATTTATAGTGGTAGTGGGGAAATGAGGGAATTCAACTATTATATTGTGAGGAGAATATAATGCAAAAATATTATATGTAAATTATATATTAAATGTATAAAAATGAGTTACAGTCGACCACATTTGATTGAAGGGGAGCCAATATTTGCATATTTGTTCGAAGAGAGGTATATAAAATGCTAAAATGGATGTGTTACTTCTATAAGGAGAATTACTTGTAGGCAACATTTTACTAGGGAACTCAGGCAGAATGGTTAAAATTGTTCGGGGACCCAGGGCTCAAAGGGTTAAACGCTAATAGTTGCCATTATAGTTTTCTACTTTCCCTTTCCTCAAACAGTCGGACTTGAATTCCCAACAACGCATCTATTGCAAGGAAAGTTGGATCACTGTGCCGTGACAAATACAAATAAAGAAATAGTGGTCACTACTTAAATGTGCATGATGGACTCAAACAACCGGATTTGAAATCCATACACTATAGTTACTTAAAAATGAAGTTTGGACAACTCCAGCCCAGAGATACCAGCGGTACTCCATTTTTTTTTATCTGACCTGACTCTTGTAAAGATATGCATGCCAGGAGGAGTCAGGTACTTTCTGAAACGGTACAAGAAGCCGACTCTTTTCCCAGCATCTTTCGCGATAGATGGTTTGTGCGAGTGTATCAGGGGTAAAAAAATCAATTGAGATAGATGCTAAAAGAAAAAACAGAAGACAGGATGTTATGGAGAGCTATATTAGCTTCCGTTCTGGAAGGAGGCAACCCGTAAAAAATATCAAACAAAGTCGTCGTCCGCTGGGAAAACCGGATCTCTCTGTCTCGTGAGCCATGTTCTAAGCACTGTGTAGCAGGTGCGCGTACTATCAAATGCTGAATTTGCAGAAAGACCTCGGGACCTTAAATGTTCCCTTGAATCTTGTCTCCCGGTAAAATTCCACTCGATTGATCATATGGGGTTTCCATGGAAACAATCTTATGTCATTTAAATATTGAATATCATGAAAACTTACCGTTGTCACCCCCCACCACCCTTTATACTTGTTTCTCTCCATTTCCTACGCTTGATAATTTCAATTATAACCCTACCTAGTTTCATTATGGCACCCGTTCGAGCTGAACATAAAATTTCCCGCGTTTAGAGATTTTAGAGTCTCCGCCTCCTCCTCCACCTCCTCCTCCTTTTCCTCCTCCTCCTTTTCTTCCTCCTCCTCTTGCAATTCTTTCTCTTCTTTTATTTTCTTTTTCTTTTCTCCTCCTCCTATTTTCTTTTACTTCTTTTTTCGTCTTATTCGCTTCTCGTGTTGCTCTCTTTCTTCTCTTTTCTTCCTCCTCCTTTTTCTCTTATTTCTCCCACCACCTCTATGTATTTCTTTTCTCTTTATTTTCCTCTTTCTCCCTTTCTTCCCTACACACCTTTCTGTTTTTTCTTCTTTTCTGTCTCTTCTAATTTTCTTATTTTCTTTCCTTTCTCTTCTTTTATCTCCATTTTTTTTCTTTTTTCATTTTCTCTTTCTCCTTTTTTTTCTTTCATTTCTCGGCTTTTCTAACGTTTCTTCACTTCTTTTGACAACGCTTTTCTCCTTTTTCCTTTTTCTTTTTTCCCTTTTTCCTCTTTTTCTCCTTTCTTTACCTTCGGCTTTATTCTTCCCATTCATTTCACTTCTTTTTCTATTTCCTTCAGGTTTTGCAAGTTTTTCATTCCTCCTCTTTATCGCTTTCTTTACTTCTCCTGTTGTTTCGCTTTTTTTCACAGGTTCATCTTTTTCTGTCTATATCCCTGAAATGAGGTATCATGGCTACTTGCATTATTTCCATTATTCGAACTGTTATCCTCATCTTCATTGCCATATTCACAACGTTTCGGCCTCTATATCTCTGAGATGAGGCATTATGATTACTTGCATTATTTACATTATTCGGACTGTTATGTTCATCTTCATTGACATATTCACAATGTTTCGGCCGTTGTACGCTTCGGCTTTCTTCAGGTAATTGGTATTTCGAATCGAACCCTTCCTTTTGTCAACCGTAGTTTCCTCCTCCTTTCTCTTTTCTATCTCTCTTCTTTTCTTTCGTTTCCTCTTTCCTTTTCTTTATCCTTTCTATCTTCTTTTATTCTCTTTTTTCTCTTGTTTTCTTTTTTCATTTCAATATTTTTCATTCATTTTTCTCTTTCGTTCCTCTCTCCTTCTCCTTTTCTTTTCTTCTTTTTTCTCTTCCTTTTTTTCTCTTTTTTCTTGTCACCCTCTCATTTCTGTTTCGTTTTCTTTTTGCCTCATGTTTTTTCTTTTTCTTTTTTTATCTTTCCTTCTCTTTCCCAAGTTTCTTTACTCGTCTTTTTTTCCTGTATTCTCTTGTCCTTCTCTGTTTTGACTTTCTCTTTTCTTTTTTTATCCTTTCCTTCAGTCTCTTTTTTTTTCTTTCGTTTTTCCGTTTTTCTCATTTTCTTTTCTTTTTCTTGGGAATATCAAGTGCTGGAAGCTTCGATGTGCGGGTAGTAAGAATTACGGACCCCACACGTTAAAACACACATCCTCGTACGATCAACGAAGTTAAGCAACGTCAAGCCTGCTCAGTACCTACATGGGTGACCGTTTAGGAATACCAGGTGCTGTAAGCTTGGATGTGCCGGTGGTAAAGCTTACGGACCCATGGCGGTAAAACACCGGTTCTCGTACGATCACCGAAGTTAAGCAACGTCGAGTCTGGTCGGTACGTAGTTGGGTTACCATTTGGGAAGACCAGGTGCTGTAAGCTTGGATCTACAGGTGGTCAAATGGATAATATCTCCGAATTGTTAATCGAGGAGCCGACTTCTATTTCTAGTTAGTTCCGTTATATTTCCCTACGTGATTTTTCTTCACTCCCCAGCTATGGGTTAATTAGTAAGACGTGTATCACTAAATCATTATTATTCCTCAGAAACATTCTTACAATCTAAAAATATTTTCCTGCTTTAAATAAGATTGAAGGTGGTGATAAGCCGTAAAAAAACAAATCAATCAATTTTACTTTTCTCTTTCTTTCTCCTTTTTACTCTTTATTTTCTTCTTTTCCCCTTCTATTCCTCCTTTTTATCCTTTCATTTCTTCTCTTTTCTCCTTTTCTCTTTCTCTTTTTATCTTCGTCTTTTGTTTTCCTGGATAATTCCCTGATCAACATAATGGAACTTGTTCAATTAGCCCGCCCCCTGCCTGTAGGTAGAGAGTGCATTAATTTTAATGTTCTAGAGACACGAGAAAGAGAAATTATGTTAAAATTTAAATTTTAATTGCTTTGGGGAGGTTCCTTGTCTAGGACTATTGAGAATTAAGTTCAGCCCACACATTAAGTGACACACGTATATTTGAAAAAATAATGGTCGAATACTTGTACCGCTACCGAAAACCTGACTCCTCCAGCCATATTGTATCTTTAAAAGAATCAGACGAAAAATGGGTTATTGCTGTCATATTTCGACTAAAGCTACATAGTCTACACTATTCAGCCACTTTTCGTTACACACTTCAGTTTTGTCATTTACTTTGAATGGCTTTCGCTATTTCCCTATGTCCCTGTGAGTCTCAAATTTTCCAAGTTTTCCTTTTTCATTATGCTTCCCAGCTTTCTCTGTCTGATCCTAAGTATAAGTATTCTTTTTGTTATTTTAATACATCTTTATGTTTATACATTCTTTTTATAGATACAAATATTTAAGTAAATGCATTGTTTATAATAAACAGGGTTGTCTGGGAATCCTAAAATTTTCACAGAAAATATTCGTTCTGCGACAGGATTCGAACCTGTATCCTATACGGAACCGTCATTTAGCTTGACGTGCGTTAACCGATTTGGCTACAATGGAGCGTTCGATTAGCAAGGTCGAATTTACTGTATCGGTAAAGGCACGTCAAACTAAATGATGGTTCCGTATAGGATACAGGTTCGAATTCTGTCGGAGGACGAATATTTTCTGTGAAAATTTCTCGGACATTCAGGCCGGTAAATGTTGTTTAATACTGTTTATTATAAACAGTGCATATTTGTATCAAATATTTGTATCTATAAAAAGAACGTATAAACATAAAAATTCTTTTTGTTCCTATTTTTAGACAGTACTCGTTGTAATACGCTAAGTCCATGATATTCTCAGCATGATTCTGTAGAATCAAAACAGACGCGTGAAATTTGAAGCTGCTCCGTATCCTATGTAAAACCTAATTTGGTACTATCAATCGGGTTGTTCCTGGGTGTGAAAGAGACGTTGGAATGTTAGCATTTTTTAATTCGGTGCTGCAGATGAAATGACTGAACGTAATGGACTGAAAAAAATGTCACAAAAAATGGTCGCTATGTCACAGAAAAAATTGTAATTTTCAGGACAACAAATTCATTTTAATATCAGTTTTTCTCTCTTCTCTGTTTTATAGGTTTGAAGACCTTCCTCCTCCTCTTCTTCTTCTATGTGCCGTGTCCATTCAGGACGTTGACATACCATGGCACTTCACAATTTCTTGACCATTATAGCTCTTAACAAATATTGTCTTTTCTTCATCTCTCCAAAATTCTGTTCTGTCATTCATTTATTCAAGCTTGCTTGGTAGGTTATACGTTGTTTACCTCTTGTCCTGTTAGTATCAAATTTTCCAAGCCTTCTTTCCTCATTATGTAGCCAAGAAATTTCAACCGTTTCTTTTTTATTTTAGATATAATTGTGATGTCTATTTCTATAAGCCGTTGTTCTTCGGAAGAGAAATTAATTACCTATATTTTGATACCAGTTTCAAAACTTGTTTTATAGGATTGGAGAACTACCTATCAATCAAGCTTCGTAATATTGAAGGGAAATAAATTTATTTCCTTTTAATACCCGTTTCATTATTCTCTTTGTAGGATTGATTACCTTACTGATCAATCAGCATGAGTAAAGTAATGATTAGGTGGCAGGAGGAATACGCCAAGCTGTACTATCGAAAAGCGAATCACACACGCAAAAAACATATATATATATATATATATATATAATAGCTGGCCACTGGTATTCGAGGATACCTGTCTACTAGGGCGGCTAGCCAATCCCTATTGCAGACGCTCGCTCAGGCATTTGCGCAACGCCGGTGGTTTATTCTGCAACTATGCTGAGCAGACCTTAGTTACAGTTTCTGGGAGAGAGCATGTTATCTCGCGTGATCAGCAATTTGTACATGGACAGCAGGCTCAATCCCTCGGCCACGATGATTTGTGGTTTCGTGCTAGCACAGATATCGACGGACCTCACTCACAAGGCTTGGGTCAACCCGTGGGATGGCTTCGATACAGTCCGATAACATCAGGAAGTCTCCTTCCTGACAAATCGACTATGGTTAAAAAATGAACGTTCCAACCACTCGGCCGCGCGCCAATTTATATATATATATATATAGAGAGAGAGAGAGAGAGAGAGAGAAAGAAAGAAAGAGGAGGAATGGAGGGAGAGAGAAAGACCATAACAAAAAGAATGGAAAAATTAAAGGGGAACTGTTTCTTGAATTCATAAATAATATACAAATATTTGGATCTTGTTCCTGACCAAATCAAATTGCTGAATAATTATATTGGACATACCACTACAACCCTATCAAGAAGACTCACGTTACATTTCTCTGACCATAGCTCAATAAGGGCTCATTTATATACATACGGTAACCTGCTAAAACCCATGCGCAACATACTCGTAGAAAATACAACTATAATAGCCTCATCCACATGCAAAAATGTCTGAAAGTAATAGAACCATTGATTATAAAAAAGAAAAAGCTAACACTCAATAACATCAACTATGAACACGGCCACAATATGCTGACCATGTTTTAAAAATAAAAGAAATATTTCCATAATTAGATGCATACATAAAAAATCCATATAATCAAATATAAAGAAAAATAATCCTTGATAATGCCTAACAGAATAGGTAAAAACGATCGGACATACATTGCATTCGAACAATTTTTGCATAGTGTTCAGAAAAAAATAGTTATGCGAACACAAGAGAAGTTAAATATAAAAGTCAATCGTAGTAGCTTGTCACTTGACAGTCGTTTTCGATGAAACTTGCATAAAAGAGGGATTGTTCTCCAAATACGCAACACACGTACATATATATATATATCGATATAAATATAGTGATTTTCGTAGCTTAGATGTGGCACAAGGCCGAAAGTATGAAGCACCCAGTGGAGATCGAACTCACTTTTCAGACATAATGGATCTACCGAAGTCAGCTCGCTAACCATTACACCACGTCGAAGTACCTAAATAGATATAGATATAGATATATGAGTGATGATCTTATACCAAATGTTCTTTTCTACAGTCAGCTCCATAGTGGTCATAGAAATGTTGGTAAACCATGCATCAGGTATAAAGATAAAGTGAAGAGCAACCATTGAAGAATTTTGAAGAATTAGCTATGAAGAGATCAGAGTATCGTTCCAGCTGCCATGCAGGAATAAAACATCATCAAGCAGTAATGATCATTCGACTGCGGGAACACGAAAGCGAAATAAAACAGCGAACAGTGTTCCTGCTGCACTTTGCATGCCCGTCATAGGCATGCAGGTAATTAGTGGATGGTCGTCGGAACCTCATATGTCAAACTCGACGGGAGAATCCGTATATATATATATATATATATATATATATATATATATATATATATATATATATTTAAAAAAAAAAGGACCAACAATTCTGTCTACCATTATAAACGATTTATTTCATTTCATTTTTGGGAAGTGTTAATCGATGAAAAAAATGAAGCGTCCTTTTAATTAAAAGGGTGTTATTGAGTGGTGAAATAAATTATTATAATGGAACCTTAAATGATCTGCTTTTGTTTAAATTATTAGCTCTGGATTTACATTGAATCTTAGGATTTCATCCTCCTTGAGACTACCCATACGGATTACCAAGTTTTTCATAACTATATATATATATATATATATATATATATATATATATATTGAGAAAAGGCACCCCTACCCTAGCTAGACTTAACCCATTTTCGAACGTAACTCATAATTGATACAATAATAGTTAATAAACTGTCTAAGTGATTGGATTTCTCTGTATCCTTGGAAACAAAAATTATTAATGTATGTACTTTTAAAACTCAGTAAATTTTAAAATAAGTTATTACAAAATTCGCTTGAAGATGAAAGAGAATTAACGCTTTTAATTTAATTATATAATTGAATTGAAAGTTTTTAGTTACTATTTTTGAAACATGGTAATTCTTGTGTAGCGATGAAACCATATTTTTGAATAAGTTAATTTATAATATTTATGCTCTGTAAATTTGCATTGAGCACTGTTTTGTAAAAATAAAAAATATCAATAAGAACACCGGATTACATATCTTACTGTTTTTTTTTTTTTTTTATAATATATATATATATATATATATATATATATATATATATATATATATATATATATATATATATATATATATACATATATGTGTGTGTGTGTGTGATCCAAGTTTCCTCTGACCTTTTTTTATTTTATTTTAAAATTGAGGCGTAACACACAGAAGGAAATTGGTCATTTTTGGGGTCATTTTTTTGTCATTCTTTTTCAAATAAAATTCTGAATACTTTTTGGACTAACATAAACAATAATTTCCGGCGAGCAGAAGAGGTAAAGAAAGGCACGTCATTAGTAGGAGTAAATTCTGTCACAGAGTTCATTATAATGAAGTAGTGAGTTCAGTCCATAATTATGGCCTTACTTTTC